TCTCAGCACAAAAAAGAAACTGTCCAGATGAACTGACTGAACATTGTTGAATTTTATACCTGGATTATTCAGCATTAACTTTGGTGTTTCTAAATGATTTTCTATTTTTTCTGTAGTTCTTGAACTGGATTTCCAGGTCCAAGTTGTGCTGTAGGACCATCACTGAAAAACTGGATCTGGGGAAAGAGATTTAAAATAAAAGGCAAATTTTTTTTGATGAGTTCTCAAAATATTTTGGAATAATTGCTGTGACTTTTTCCCAGCCTCATTATTCTCGTGTTACCTTGTGAAAGCTAGATTTAAACAAGAAGTGACTGTGAGCAGCAGTATGGTTTCATGCCAAGAAAGAGCACCACAGATGCCATCTTTGCTTTGAAGATGCTGATGAAGTACAGAGAAGGCCAGAAAGAACTTCATTGTGTCTTTGTGGATTTAGAAAAGGCATATGACAGGAGGACAGCAGGACACGTTAGACTAGTACAGGACACATACCTGTATAAGGACAGCAGGACACGTTAGACTGGTACAGGACATGTATAAGGACAGCAGGACAGTGGTGAGATGTGCTGTAGGAGTGACAGATAGCTTCAAGGTGGAGGTGGGAGTGCATCAAGGATTGGTTCTGAGCCCCTTCTTGTTTGCTCTGGTGATGGACCGACTAACAGAAGAGGTCAGGCAAGAATCCCCATGGACTATGATGTTTGCAGATGACATTGTGATCTGTGGTGAGAACAGGGAACAGATGGAAGAAAATGTGGAGAGGTGGAGGTATGCACTTGAAAGAAGAGGAATGAAAGTCAGCGTAGTAAGACAGAGTACATGTGTGTGAATGAGAGGGAGGAGGTGGAAAAGTGAGGCTACAAGGAGCAGAAGTCACAAAGGTGCAGGACTTCAAGGACTTGGGGTCCACCGTCCAGGAAAATAGGGAATGTGGTAAAGAGGTGAAAAAGAGAATCCAGACAGGATGGAGTTGATGGAGAAAAGGTTCAGGAATGATTTGTGATAAAAGGTGTCAGCAAAGGTTAAAGGAAAAGTTTACAAGACAGTGGTGAGACCAGCTATGTTGTATGGTCTGGAGACAGAGACATGGACAAAAAGACAGGAGACAGAACTGGAAGTGGCAGAAATGAAGATGTTGAGGTTCTCCTTAGGAGAGACAAGGATGGATAAAATTAGGAATGAGATCATCAGAGGTACAGCACAGGTTGAACAACTGGGAGATAAAGTTAGGGCGACCAGACTGAGATGGAAAGAGGAAGGCCAAAGAGGAGATCTATGGATGATGTTAGAGAGGACATGGAGGTAGTCGGAATGAGGACAGAGGATGCAGAGGACAGAGTGAGATGGAAGAGGATGACTCGTTGTGGAGGCCCCTGAAGAGGGAAAAGCCGAAAGAAGAAGAAGAAGCTTGTTCTCATGTTACCTGCTGAAATGAGCTTTTTTCTGATCTTGACCCACACGATGAGACAGAGCTTTCTGATTCACAAACAGTTCAGAGCAGAGACTGCTGAAAACTGACAGGACCAACACCACATGAAAACTGAGTCTGGTTTCTCTCTCAGAATGACTGAAGACCAGAAGATGGATGTTGGTGTGAAGGAGGTGGAGGGCAGAGCAGAGTCTCCAGGATCCAGTTCTCTGTCCATGAAGAGTGACTGCTCCAAAGAAAGACCTTCGGACCACAAAGAAGAACCTGGATGCTCAGACACAAAGTGAGAAAACTATTTCTCAATTTAAAAAATGCTTGAGGTTCACACATTCTTCTTCTTCTTCTCCTTTCGGATTTTCCCTCTTCAGGGGTCTCCACAGCGAGTCATCCTCCTCCATCTCACTCTGTCCTCTGCATCCTTTGTCCTCACTCCAACTAACTCCATGTCTTCTCTAACTGCATCCATATATCTTCTTTGTTATTTTTTCCTGGCAGCTGCATTTCTAACATCCTTCTACCAAAATACCCACTGTCCCTCCTCTGGACATGTCCAAACCATCTCAGTCTGGTCTCTCCAACTTTATCTCCCAGTTGTTCAACCTGTGCTGTACCTCTGATGATCTCATTCCTAATCTTATCCATCCTTGTCTCTCCTAAGGAGAACCTCAACATCTTCATTTCTGCCACTTCCAGTTCTGTCTTCTGTCTTTTTGTCCATGTCTCTGTCTCCAGACCATACAACATAGCTGGTCTCACCACTGTCTTGTAAACGTTTCCTTTGACCTTTACTGACACCTTTTGTCACAAATCACTCCTGAAACTTTTCTCCATCCACTCCATCCTGCCTGGACTCTCTTTTTCACCTCTTTCCCACAAATGTTTAAATAAGCTTAATCTGGTTTGATTAAACCATCGGTCCTGCCCTGATGTTAAGGATCATCTCTGCTGTCCAACACAAGAAGCTGAATCTGATCTGAGGACTGTTCCAGACATGGAACCTTCTCAGTCTCTGCAGTAGTTTGTTCAGTGCTACTTCAATGGTTTTCTTCAGTGATTCATGTGTTGTGAAGAACAACAGGTTTGTGTTTCAGAGGTTAGAACGTCAGACAGAGAGCAGAACCTCCAGGACCCAGCTGTCTGTCCATGAAGAGTGACTTCTCCAAAGATAGACCTCCAGACCTCAGTAATGAACTTGGATAGCGATGGGTCTGGCAGCACCGATGCGTCGGCACATGCGTTGAACTCATAGAGCAAAACCCGTGTTGGTGCACGTGTCGCTATTAGAAAGTCCCGTGACCGATACAGGAGCTGTATCGAACTGACACTGACGCTCCAAACTGTTTATAAGGAAGTGGCTCTGTAAACAGGATGCATCTGCCACAAGAATCTTTCATCTTTTGCTGGTCTTCATTAAATTAATCAAGAATTATGAAGCATACTCAAACCAAAAGAAAGATTTGTATTGTGTGGGACCATTTTGATCTCATATCAGAACATTTCCTTGTTTCATCCTGTTCTTAGAGTTTCCACTTGATCTATCTGAATTCAAATTCATTTCAAAGTGACTCTTAGTTTACTATTCATATTATTTTCTGCAGGTTAAATGTCACATTTGTTCAACAGAGCTTTCATATTTAAATAAATCCACCCCCTCAATGCTGAGGCATTATAGGGCCAGGCCTGAGAATGAAGTCCCAGATACATCCAGGGTAAAAGGTATACAGCCATTCTACAACTTACTCACAGTTGCTTTATTGATAATTAATTCCTATTAATTTATTCTTTCTCATTTTTAATCATCAAGCTTCCAGGAAGCAGATGCTGGATGAGGCTCTGCTGAATTTCATCCTGAAGGACTGCCAGCCCCTCAGCTTATTTATAAATTATTTTTTTAATAAAAATAGAAAACAAAACAATCCCGGTCCACAAGCATCCTCATTCACAACACGTTCGCTTGTATTTTTGGGTTATGATACATGTTCACATTATTTATTGACTGTATCTAAAAATATCAAAGATATTTTAAATTTAAATGAAGATATGAAATAATACAATATAAAATAAGATGACAAATTATTTTATTGTATATACTAGGTCATCAAATCAGTGTCAGTTGGGTCTGTCAACTAGGTTGCCTGTAGGGATCTTTAGGTTCCAGCAGGTGTCAGTATTCAGTGACACAGTATCGACATAGTATCAATGCAGTTTGGCAATGTGTTGAAACGCTTCATGATGCCTCATCGGCCCATCACTAAACCTGGACCGTCAGACATGTAGCAAGAAAACTGGTGCTTTTTTTTAGATAATCTGATTTAAATTCATCGGACAGGGAAGAGATTGAAACTGTGGCTGTGGAGGCAACAGGTTAAAGAGAGAAACCCAGACCTCCCTCTCACCAGTGCCACTTTCCAGCTCATTCTGGGGGAACCCAAGGCGTTGCCAGGTCAGAGAAGATACACAATCCCTCCAGCAACTTTTGGGTCTTACCTGGGGCCTTCTACCAGAGGGATGTACCCAGAAAACCCCTAAGGGGAGGCGTCCAGGAGGCATCCTAATCACATGCCCGAACCACCTCAACTGACTCCTCTTGATGCAGAGAAGCAGTGGCTCTATTTTGAACTCCCATGAATCATGGTGCTCCTTGCCCCATCTCTATGGATGAAGCCCCTCACCCTGTGAAGGAAGCCCATTTTGGCCACTTGTATCCAGGATCTGGTTCTTTCGGTCATGAGAGCCAAACCTCATGACCACAGGTGAGGGTTGGGACATAGATAGAGTCACAAGAATTTACCACGGTGTGTGTGAGTTTGTTTTTATATGCTTATCTGCTCCCACCTCACAGGCAGATCCGTGTCCTTGGACCACCACCTGTGCATGCAGTATCAAATCAGTTCCTCGTTCAGCTCTCTCTGAGAGAGAAGAGAACCCTCTGCTAACTCAAACGCATGATTCATGCGCAACTAACATTCTCAGCCATAGTAGTTAAAAACATCCATAAACCTTGACAAAAAATTTCCTGACAGACTGAGCGAACAAAATGAAAGAACTTTATAAACAAAACAAACAAACAAAAACAGCTGATATGGCAGTAAACAAATTTAAAGTAAAACTAAACAACAAGGAGCTCACAGTAAACAAGCAGACAATCAAACAGCATAACCAAGTGATGACAAGGTGACAATCAGGAGTGTAAGCACTGGGGGGTGGGGGAAGATGAGAAACAGGTGAGTGCAGCTGGGCTGATTGGTTAATGAGAGACAGGTGAGTAATGAGGAGCAGGATTGACCGAGGACATACACAAGCCTCTTTACCATTGTTTTTTTCTCAGGTGGAGGTGATTTGGCACTGTGACTTGTTTCCCTGCTCTGTGGGTGGGATCGTAACAGGTTATTGAGTCTGAGCCACTCAGTCCGTTGTGGTCCTTAATCATCCTATAACTGGACTTCAGTTTCGTTAGCCTATCCCGGCACTGCTCATAAGTTCAGGTTTAGCCATGCTGTGCCATCATCTCAGAAATCTCTCAATAAAGTTAAATGCCCTAATTTCTTGTGGCACCATACATCAAAACCATGAGGAAGTGACAGTTCAGATGTAGTTTGCAGTTTTGCTGGGAGGGTCATCTAGTGACGTAGCTCCGGTCAATCAGCGGCTGCTGTCTGCTTACATCAAGATCGGCATCTGAAAGCACGTCGCTTGGAACCATGAATAAGGTGGTCCTATAAACTGGGCTGAGTGGGGGTGGGTACTGGCAGTGGGCAGGCCCAAAACCAGCAAGGTCAACAAAACTCACTGGGTTTCTATTCTGAAGCTGAAGATGTTTCTCTTCCCATCCAGGAGGCTTTATCAGTTCTAAAATGTCTGGAGTGTATGTATGTTTACCTAACAGTCCAGGAAAGGCAGCTGGTTGTTAGTGGCTCCTCTCTGGTAAACTTGATCCACAGAGCTGATGTGTCTGGTGAACACTTCTACTTCTTTCACATGGACTTTGACCCAAGTATTGTCTACATATCAGAACAGTGGCTCAGTGTTGTTACCTTGAAGGAGTTCAGGGCTCTGTTCCATTTCCTGTATGTAGAGATTGGCCACATTCAGTGATCCTGGAGCTCCTATGGCACAACCAGGCTGCTGTCTGTAGAAACTGTTAAAGAAGGGTCGGTCAAGGATTATGAATGTTTTTTATTGTGTTTTATGGGGGCCGAGATGGTGTAGAGGCAGGGCAGCCGGCTTGGGACCCGAAAGTCCCAGGTT